AAAGTGGAGAAGAACAAATGAAAGATAACAACATCAATGCTTTTTAGATGCAGAGCATAAGAGCGAAAAGCAGATTTGCTGATGACTACACTTTGGGATCAATTATTATTGCTTAACACACTGCTCAGAAGCACACGCTCAAAAGAAAGCAGTAAGTAGGGAATATTAAGAGCATCTAACTTAAATTGGGCGACGAAAAGTTCACTACCCTAAAAATGACAGTAAATTTGCAATTAATCACTACTGAAAAGCAAAGCGATAGGACTTAGTCAAGTTCAAATGAAAAGAGTGATGCTCTTCATTTCGTCTTGACAGCAGATCTAAAACCAGTGGTTAACTGGATCGCCTAGAAATACAAAATCATTAGTTACAGTCGCAAACTCAAAAGATAGTTTACTTCAAACGTAGACGTAGTTGGTATTGTATAGAGCAAAACGTCAAAAAGATCGCTATATTGCAGCCTAAAGTAGTTGAGCTGCACGGTAAATAACATTCGTCGAGCCATAGCTCCAAAATTTTAAAAAAATGGAGAAACAACATAGAAATTATGGATTACCTTTCGAACAGCATCGTAAACCCTGCTTGTTTCATATGGTCCAACACCATAGAAATTGAACTCCTCTGGCTTGGCATATTTACGCTTGATGCGAGAACGTAGCGACATGGAAGGGTTTGTTGCAAAATCGTACATCATAAGAATCCAACCGTCGTGTGATTTCAGATTATCGTAATATTCTGGTGCGATATAACGTATCTGGAAAAAAAAGGATGAGATACTAAACTATGCGAATAATAGTGAGTATGGTATTCACGTATTTACACATAAAATTAGTAAGCAATACTCAATGCAAGAGTATAAAGAGCAACTTTGCTCTCTTTTTTTCTTTTTTTCCTTATAATCTTGAAAATATGCTGCAGCGCTACATTTTGATAATGTTGTGCGATCACACCATAATAAAGTTAACTCCTTATATTCCATTAATACTTTATGTATGCCATTGAAAAGAGTAATGCAAACTTGTAAAGGTTTAGTTGATTCACTAGAAAAAAAA